TTAGTGTCTGATATTAGGAATCTCTAAACACTGTAGGATACAGAAAATAAACTAGAAAATAAAAGACTGAAAATTTAAATGATGATCCGTGAATCAATAATTTTGCTGTCGTTTGAAGAGGATTGAAGATGCCCTGTCAGTTGCAGATCCCAACCCTTAAATATTCTTCAGAAATGGTACTTGAAACCGTCGCCCGAATGGTTACAACGCCTCCTCTCAACCGTCTGCTAACTCCTCTTTTGCTGACACGTGTTCTCAACCGACCAAGCTATTATTCTCACTCACTCTCCACAGCATCCGACCTCCACAACAACCAACAATTCGCTTATCCAACTACTGATCAACCGACTTGCCTATCCGACCGCGAACCAACCGACTTGTCTATCCGACTACAAACCAACCGACTTGTCTATCCGACTACAAACCAACCGACTTATTGGTCCGACCACAGACCTTCCGACTTGTTGGTCCGACCACCTACCTTCCGACTTGCTGGTCCGACCGCAAACCTTCCAACTTGCAGACCATCCGACTTTTTGGTCCGACCGCAGACCTTCCGACTTGTGGACCATCCGACATGTAGACCATCCGACCTGCGGACTTTCCGACCCACCTATTTCCTCAAAAACGTTCAGTTTACCGATTGTCTTGAAATACCCCCTTAAAGAATCTAAAAGACCCAATTACAAGCCCACATCTTCTTCCAACTTGGGCTTTTTAACCTAATTATAAATTTCATACGTAACAGCCTCATAACAATTGTTATTATTATTATAGTTTAATTGCACAAGTTCACAATTTTCTAATTATGTTTTGGCTTTCCTCCAATACCGACTAATATTACTTCTAGAACATGAAAATATCTTTTGTGCTTACAACGTTTTACTGAAAGCATATTTTCTATTTTTTAGGTTACAAATAAAAACTGCATTATGCCATTATAGCAATATGTTCTTTATGACTAAATTCTTTTCATCTTGTCATTGTGGGTTTGAAGTAAAGGAAAAAATTGTGTTATATAAATATCGGGGAAGATACAATGGCTTGATGAATTCCCTTTTTCCGATCTGGAACTCGCTTGTATATTAACCATTGCTGTGGTTAGTTTTGGAAACGGTTGTTGCTCTACTCCCAAAGTGATATACTTGAGCCGACCTGCCTTAATAGCCTTTTGGATCTCATTTCGAAAATGAGTGCATTGACTTGTATTATGTGTGAAAGAGTTATGCCACTTACAGTACGGCCTCCCTTTGATTTCTTCCTTAGTAGCCAACCTTTGCCCCTTTGGAATTCGGTTTTGACCATCCGATAGCAAAATATCAAAAATCCTATCGGCTTTTGAATTATCAAAGGTTGGTTGCTCTTTTCCTTCAGTTCCTGGTATTGGCTTTAACTTAGAACACACATAAGGCTTCCCTGACAGTATTTCGGCCGCCATCTCTTCCGTTTGATCATAATCAAAGTCGTATGCCTCTGTTTCCATACTTGCCATATGCTGGACTTTATTACGCCTGAAATTTTGATCATTTCCTCTAAAAAGAGACTCCAAACGTCCAGCCTTAAAAGCAAGGCTTGCCAAATCTTCTACATCATGGGCAGTGAGCGCCTCTCTCAGGCGACCATGCATGTTCCTGACCACTAAGTTGGTCATTTCTTTTTCATTGATTACAGTAGGACAACGTCCTTTCATCAAACGTACTCTTTTAATAAACTGTGAAGTCTGGATATTGTTTCAATTCCAATAAATCAGTAAGAGAGACGGTCGGTAAAGAATTGAAGAACCTAGCATGAAACGCCATCTCCAACCCTTCCCAAGTTTGTATTTGCCCAGGTGGCAGGCTTACAAACCATGAGAACGCTGTTCTAGTGAGAGATAACCCAAATAACTGCAGTTTATAACAAGGATTATTTCCAACTTCCCCTAACTGCGCTGTAAAGCGACCCACATGCTTAATGGTGGAAGATCCATCTTCCTCTGAAAAAGCATGGAAATCAGGTGGTCGATAATTCCTTGGCAGTGGATAATCGTTGATGATCCTTTCGGGGAAAGGCCTTTGATATGCAGGGCAGTTGGCCATCTGAGGATTCAGGCCGAAATGGACTCTCAAAACCTGCGCAATCTCTTCGGGGTCCACACGAGGGTGCTGTTGATCAGGGATGAAGATGGGATCTTGCACATGTGCTCCTTGCCTCTCCTCCCTGACAACGTTTGGCTGCATATTGTCAACTCTCGGACCCAAAGGCACATTATTAGGGAAAGTTAAAGGAGTCTTTCCCCTATCCGTTCGGTTGAACGTCGTGGCCCTTGGAAGTGTGCTGTCGACGTATGATGGCCCTGCGAAATTTGCTTGCATTCTTGATGGTGATATCCCTGGTGGCGTCTGAGTGGGTTGAAGAGTAACATTTGATAAAGCTTGGTCTAACATGTTCTGCATCAGATTTTGTTGCTCGCGCAACATATTTTGCATCGCCGAAGTTTGCTGATTGTTCAATTGTTGAACATAAGCCAACCAATCGGTAGGTGGTTGGGGAATCTCCCCTGGATTTGGCATGACGGGTGGTGAAACATTTTCTCCCGCCGGTGCTGATGATAATTGAGGTTGTGAGCCTGCCATACTGATTTTTCTGATGATTCAACCAGACCTAAGTCGTATGAAATTCTCTGTTGATGTAGGATCAGCAATCTTGCCTTTCTCCCACTGTGGTCGCTAATTTATTAATGTATTTTTTCAACAAACAAAAAGTAAAATCCAAAAATAGGAAATTATTTTCAAACTTGATATATTTAGCATCTGAGATTAGAAATCTCTAAACATTGTACGGTACAGAAAATTAACTGGAAATTAAAATGCTGAAAATTTAAATGATGATCCCCGAATCACTGACTTTGTCGTCGTTTGAAGTTGATTGAAGATACCTTGTCAGTTGCAAATTCTAATCCTTAAATACTCTTTAGAAACGGTACTGGAAACCGTCGCCCGAACGGTTATGACACTTCTTTTTCAACTGTCTACTAACCCCTCTCCTGCTGACACGTGCCCTCAGCCGACCGAATTATCACTCTTACTCACTTTCAACAGTGTCCGATCTGCCTATCCAACCACGAATCGGCCGACTCTTTGGACCGACCACAGACCTTCCGCCTTTTTGGCCCGAACGCAGCTCTTCCGCCCTGTTGGTCCGACCGCAAACCTTCTGACTTACAAATCACCCGACTTATTGGTCCAGCCGCAAACTTCCCGACTTACAGACCACCCGACTTGTTGGTCCAGCCGCAAACCTCCCGACTTATAGACCATTCGACTTGTTGGTCCAGCCGCAAAACTCCCAACTTGCAGACCACCCGACTAGCGGTCCTTCCGACCTATGGACCTTCCGACTGGCGGTCCTTCCGACCTGCGGACCTTCCGACTTGCGGACCTTCCGACCTGCTGACTTTCCGACCTGCGGACCTTCCGTCTTGCAATTTCCTTAGAAACACGTCTATTTCACCTGATTTTCTCACAATGCCCCTCCATCAGTCCAACCAACCCAATCGTTGGCCCATGTTTTCCTTTTAACTTGGGCTTTTTAACCTAATTATAAATTTCATACGTAACAAATATACAAATAAAAAATAGGTGTTTGATTTGATGTGTTTGAGGGGAAAAAATTGAATGAATGAATAGTTAAAAAAAGTCCAATCCTCCAAACAAGCACATAGTTTTATGCTTCTGTTGCTTTGACTCTATTATTTTGGCATTATTTGTACTGATCTTTTTATAATAAGAATGTATGGAATGAAGTTGGCTTATGGTCTCCCTCAAATGCATTTAATAATACTTCAATCATTTGGGAGGAAATATAGGAGGAAAATGAATTTTTGTTTTTTTTTTTTTTTTTTTTTTTTGTAATTATTTGGATATTGAATGCATTGTTAGTGCTACTGAAAATATTAGTTGAGAAATGAAAATGTTGCACTGATATTATAAGCATTATTGATTATTTTATTTTTTTTAATATTAAAATTATTAATTGATGTTGTTTGGATATTAATGTATTTATTGTTGGTAGTGATGAATATTAGAAGTATTATTAAACGCATTTAAAACATGAATTTTTTGCAATTGTTTTTTTTTTCTTTTTTTTTTTTCGGTGTGTATTTGATTTTTTTTGCATTAATATAATTGTTTCAAAATGATTTTTACGAGTTCTTATATGTTTTTATAAAGCTGTTTGTTTTCTTTCAATAAAAATAATTATAATAGTAAAATGGTGTTAGTTAATTGTTGTTGTGTTAATAATTAAAATTTAATTAAATGAATTTTTATAACATAACATAATTTTTAAATGTTTAAATAAAATAAATAAGTTTTCTGTCAATTTACAATTAAAATATATTGATTTTAACTATTTTAATTTAATGTATTAAAGAAAAAATAAATTTATTTTTATTATAAAATTATATAATATTTTAAAACTATCATCAATACTATTGCCATAAAATAATAATAATAATAGTAATAATAACAAACTAGTATCATAATTTAATATCATTAACTCTTTAAACCCAAATACCGTAATTATTATATTCAAACCAAAAGCGTCAAAGTTTGGTTTGGAGTATCTAAATTAATATTATTATTAATTTAATAAATTTAATTAAAATTAAAAAATATTTTAATTATTATATTATTGATCATTACATTTATTAATTGCTAAATTAATAAACATCAAAACCTCCCATCCAAACAAAATTTACTATAACCCATAGAAAAATAATTTTTCGAAAACTATAATAAAATTCAAATATAAATCAAACTTAAACCAAATCACAAAATTATCTTCAAATTCAAATATAAACAAAGTTTAAACCAAATTTTTTCAAAGAAACACATCCAATATAATAGAAAGTTTTAATATAATAAAAATTTATATAGGAAACAATGTTCATATATTTTATTCTTTTTTTTCACTATTACTCAAATATCCAATAAATATGAAAAAAAAAAAAGAAAAAAGAAAAAAAAACGCTGAGAAAGCAACATTTGGAAGCAGATTTACGTGACCACCAAATCGATCGTATGTATGTTGCTATCATCATTACATTTCAGCAATTTTCCCACCACCATATAACAGCAAGCATATCATATGATCATTAGTATTATTACCCAACATCCTACAAAAACAAAAAAAACCCAAAATCTAAGTGAAAGACAACAAGAGAGAAATGCAGCTTAGCTTGCAATAACGCAACCATTTCAAAACTCAACCACTTCCTTCCTGTTAAAAAACAATCCGGTCGAGCCGTCGTCCTCCGGCAGCAGTGCCAGCCTCACGGGGCTCTCGGCTCCTTCTTCCACTGTCAGGAACCCGCTGTGGTGGTTCATGTCCGTCTTTGTGTATCCGGGGCAAATCGCATTGATCTTACACTCGGGGTTCTTCTTTGCCAAAAGCCTCGTGTATGTAGTCACAACAGCCTTAGAGACAATATACGAACCTGAATTCGACGGCCAGCCTCTCTCTTTGACGGCCCCGTCTTTAACGGCTTTAAGGTACGCATTCACAACCTCCTCCAGCTTCTCTTCTGTCAGATTCTCCATGTTGCTGAGGATCCCTTTCGCCCATTCATGACACACATTCTGCAAATATACCCAAATTACTAAGTTCAAAGATTATTAAATTTTTAGGTAAAATGTGTTAAACAAATTTATTAGCGAAATTTGAGATACTGTGAAATCGGAATAATGCATATAAGATAATTTTGAAATCGAATATATGATGCAATATCAAATTCGAGCCTCGCGATTTTATTCAAGCGAATTCGGTCATCCACCGATAATAGTTCGAATTATAAACTGAATAACAAATTCCGTAAACCAAACTAAAAAGCTTTTGGAAGAAAATATGTAGAGAATTTTCTCTAAGGATTTAAAAGAGATGAAACTTTAATAAAACTGTTGATTTCTGCACGTTGCATTAAGTTATAACAAACTACTTTATCTTATTATTTATTTTTTTTAATTAAATATCCAACAATGATTATTGAATAAGTACCTTAAGTTGGCCCATGATGGAGGACATGTTAACTATCCGTGGCGAGGCAGAAAGCTTGAGCAGGGGAAGCAGAGCCTCGGTCATCTTCTTGACGCCGTAATAGTTTATTTGGAAAGCCGCTTCGGCTGTCGCATACGTCTCGACTACAATGGCATCCCAGTTAACTTTCGATTTGTCCTGCAGCATATTACGTACATTTAAATCCAAACCAAATTATCAAATTCATTCATTCATTCGAGCATAAATACAAGTATATACATACATACCTCGGCCTTAGCTGCAGCTCTTATACCCTCAGCATCGACATTGGCTCCCGCGACGCCCGCATTGTTCACCTGCATATATATGATTCAGACGATCAATCATCGATATTTAAAGATACAGAGATCAATTAATAGGTCCTTACACAAGAACATCATCATATATGTAATAAGATTCCTGAACTGAACAAGGGACAATTTTGCAATAATTATACCAAGATATCGAGCTTCCCGAATTTGGATTTGATGAAATCAGTCAAGGCAGCGACACTGGCTGAATCTGTGACATCCAACTGGTGGAAAATTACATGGTCGCCATGCCCAAATTCTTTCAATTTCTCCACAGCTTCGAGGCCCCTTTGGGAATCCCTAGCAGTCAACACCACTGTAATGTTCCCCTGAGACTGAGAGGCCAATTGCTTGCAAATCTCAAACCCTAATCCCTTGTTTGCCCCAGTCACCACAGCAAACCTGCACAACCATTATTGAACAAAAAATTAATCCAACCACAAGGCTGGAAGTGAGAAATTCAATTTAGGGATCGAACTAAGACATACTTTTTTGTTGCTTCGGCAGCCATTGTTGCAGCTCGAGATTTTTTAAGGTTGGATAGATTCTTGTTTGTGAAGCTCCTTCTTCGATTTGGATTCAGTTTTAAAGGCCAATTCGGGGAGAGATCCGAGAATAAAATATACCCTTCTAGTTCTAGATGGGAAGCTTCATTGTTAATCTAAAATCTGAGGTTGACTTCTTGAAACTCAAAGTTATTACACCTTGGAGCGGAGGTCCCGAAGCAATCTCCACCGTTCACTGCAGTTTCGATGGCTTTGTACTCCCGGCTCCCGGGAGTAGAATTAATTGTTCTAGAAGTTCCCTTTACAGGAAATAACTCTTAAGCATAATTGGGTATTGAAAAAAATGAAAAATAAACTTAATTGGGTATTTTTTTATAGTTATTAAATAAAATAGTAATGGGAGTATTAATTAACACGTGGAGAGTGTTAACAGTTGACTTTTGGGTTCGTAGATCACAGGATGGAAGCTTCTTGTAGGGAAGAATTTCCAAATTTCGGTGTTGTGGGAGTTGTCGGTTTGAGTTGTGCTTACCTCTACTTACAATATATATATTTTTTTTCATACGTTTTATTTTTGGCTAGTAATTTATTTCAAATTGTACCATGGTAGCATTTCATAAACCTACTACATATCTAACGTATAATTTAATAAGATCATTTTTGTTATTTTAACTATAATACTAATATTAAAAAATTTATATGTAAAAAACAAATGGTACTAATTTTATTGGACGCACGTTACTTTTTATAATTTTCTAAATTTATAAATAATATCAAATATTTTATTGTTTTATATATTTAATTTAAAAAATATTTTAAATATTATATCTTGAAATTAAATTTATAATATTTTTTTATATAATTATAAAAAAAATATTGAAAATATTTTAGATCAAATAAATTAAAATTTAATATTATTAATAGAATTTATGCAAAATATAAATAAAATATATAATATGATTTGATTAAATATAATAAATACATAAAAATGAATATTAATCATAAAATTAAAAAATAAATATACAAAAATAATTTAATTTATAAATAATAAAATAAATAAGTAAAACTGTAATTTTTAAATAATTTTTAATTTAAAATAAAATAAAATAAATAAATAAAGCCACTCTCTCCAATGAGATAATGTCATCTCGTATGACAGGAATTGTGCCACATCCTCTCATGTGAGAGGGTGATAACTCAAATAATATAGATGTGAATTGAAGGTGGTCTAATACTCTTATTGAAAATTTCGGTTTGTCCAACGTTTTTACATGGAATAATGTTTATTGTGTTAAAAATATAAAATATTGTATTATTTTGACATTGAATATTTGACTTTCGATAATAAATATTTAATTTTTTTTTAACTTTTTTATTTTTATAAAAAAAATTTATATTTTTATTATTATTTTTGGGAATCGCAATTCAACAATAGTGCCAAAAAAACATAGCCTTATTTATGATGTAATATACTCCGTTAGTCCCAAATCAAAGCGTCTTTTGGAGTTTCGTAGTAAATTAAAAAATAACAGTACTTTTTATTATTTTGGGGGTGTATTCATTATTGATTTTGTAGGATTATATTGGACTTTTAAAATCCGGATGTAGTTGATCCAATTTTTAAAAGTCTTTTAAAATTTGAAAGTATTCAACTTTTAAAAGTTTTTTAAAATCTGAAAGTATTCAATAATCCATAAACTTTTAAAGTTTATGTATTTTATTTAATTTTAAAGGAAAATTATGAAAAAATTGTATAGTATAAAATCTCTCCTGATAGGGAGAGATTTTGATGGATCTTAAAAATATGTTATTATTATTATTATTAGAATTGAAAAATATTATGATAGTATTTATGTAATATTTTAATAAAATAATAATAATTTTAAAATATACTAATGAAAAATGATAATAATAATAAAATATATAATATAATAGCAAATTATACCAAATTTTTTGAAAATATACGTTTTTAATTAAAAATTTTAATTTATTAATTCTTATTATGCTGCATAAAAAAATATGTAAATAAATTTTTATAAAAAAATGTATGAAGATGATTTGAACTCAAATAACTTGGTATTGAAATATTTACATTAAATTTGTTACATCAATAATATATATACACATATAAGAAAATTATGTTAAAATTCTAACAAATTAAAACAAAATAATATAATAAATGATAATATAATTAAAATTATAAAATTTAAAATATTAATATATAAAGTTATTATTATTCTATAATTATTATACGTTATTAATAATATATAATATATATTTATATATATTTTACTTTATATGAATATAATACTGCGTATTACTATATTATATATATAACTTATAAAATTTGTTTACAAACCAAATAAAGCCGTTGCTGCCTGTCATTTTACATAATCAGTCGTTCTTGTTGTTATTGCTTTTGTGCACCTTTTTGTTTCTGCTCCTTGTATCGATTGCACTAATTTCTTTTGGCTTCGATTGTTGCATCGATTTTTTCCCATTCTTTACATTCCTCTATTGTTTCGGTAAGATTTAGATATTTTTATTTTTTAAATAAATAAATAAATATTAAACAACATATTTCAATTCGAATCGACAATTTACGATTCGAGAATATAAGAACTGAAATTGAACTGTGTAAAATTCAATTTCAGTTTAGTATTTGAAATCGAAAAACTGACGTAGGTTTGAAACTGAAGGGCAAATTTATTTACGATTCAATAAATATTGAAACCAAAATCAAACATGAAAAAATTGATTTTGGTTTCATGCTGTTGATCGGTTTCATTTGTATTTACGGTATATGTTAAGCTGTTTTGATATTTTATAATTTGTTAATTATATATTTTATGTTTGTAAAATATCTTATGCTGTATTCAATTAAATATTATTACACTATTTACTATATTTTGTATGTGGTCTATTCTGTAGAAATTATAAGAAGAAGATATCTATTTTTATTTAATTACTTACTTATTTATATGCAAGGTGTCTAGTTATATGTTTTATGAAAAAATAAATTAAAGTATTAAATTATTTATGTATATATCTAAATAAGCTATTTTGTATCGTTAATATAGTATATTATTATGGAGGATTAGCAACAAGATTCAAAAAGAAAAACACCCTACGAACAGTGGACTAAGGAACAAAGCGATTATTGTTAGAACTCATAGTTGATGCTGCGACTCGAAAATGACGTGATAATAATGGTGTTTTTTCTAAAGCAACAGTGGAAGAAAGAATACTTCCTATTCTTAATGAAAGACTCAGTGTAATAAAACATAAGCAATTACCCAAGTCGTCTCAAATGATTTAAAAACCGTTGGATATCCTATTCAAATCTTATGAAGTTTAGCTCTGGTTTTGGGTATGACAAAACTACTAAAAAATTTACAGTTTTAGATGAAGTATGAAATGCGTACTTAGAGGTAAACTTTTTAAACATCATATTATAATAATATTATAGCATTAATTTATTGTGATAATATAGTGAGTAAATATATATATATATATTGTTTATGCTAGGCTCACTCAAAAAATACATGCTTGCGCTATAGGAAATGTTTTGATTATAAAGACTTAGCTATTGTGGTAGGAAATGGTGTTGCTGTTGGAAAATTTTTTATTGGATTGGGTAGTGCTACTGATGCAAGGGCATTAGATGATGATGAAAATAAAAATATATGCATAGAAGATTTGAATTATGATGCTGAAAATGAGATGTTTGTATGACTATTTAAAAATGATCCATCATATAATTCTATACCATGTTCAGAGTTATCTGAAGTGCCTGAAGTTTCAAGTCAAAGAAGAGGTCAACCTAAAAGAAGTAGAGTATGAAGCAAATTCTAATTCTACTAAAAATATTCTTCAGAAAGAGCTCATGAGAGAAATTAAAAAGCTAACAAGTACTTTTGAAGGAGTTCATAATTTCTTAGAGAAAAAGAGATACTATGCTAGAGAAAAGATAAATAGAAAGAACATATACAACTTGGAATGCTATCAAAGAGATTCCAAATTTGGACGAAGACATTTGTCTGAAGGCATTTCACTTGCTTGACACCAAGTAAAAAACATATGAATTTTTGAAGATGATTATCGAAGAAAGAGCTAATTGGATAGCTTATAAGATTAGAGAGTAGTGATTATTTAAATAATATACTATATAATATGCTATATTTTGTTGGGATTTTGTTAAGAATATATATATATATATTGTTACGTATGAAATTTAGAATTAGGTTAAAAAGTCCAAGGCAAAAAGAAGAATGGGCCTAGCAATCGAGTTGATCGAACTGGCCGAGGGGCACCATGGGAAACTCAGGTAAAAAGATATATTTCTAAGGAAATAGCAGGACGGAAAGTCCTCAGGTCGGAAAACTCTTAGGTCGCAAAGTCCTTAGGTCGGGAGGTCCTCAAGACGGAAAGTCGCCAGGACGGAAAGTCCTCAGGTCGGGAGGACCTTAGGTCGGGAAACCCTTAGGTCGGGAAGTCCTTAGGTCGGGAGGTCCTCAAGACGGAAAGTCATCAGGATGGAAAGTCCTCAGGTCGGGAGGGCCTCAGGTCGGGAAACCCTTAGGTCGGGAAGTCCTTAGGTCGGGAGGTCCTCAAGATGGAAAGTCATCAGGACGGAAAGTCCTCAGGTCGGGAAGTCCTCAGGTCGGGAAGTCCGCAAGTCGGATGGTTTTTAAGTCGGGACGTTTGCGGCTAGACCAAAAGGTCGGATGGTCTTTAAGTCGGGACGTTTGCGGCTGGACCAAACAAGTCGAATGGTTTGCAAGTCTGGAGGATTGGCAGTCGGGCCAAAAGGGCGAAATGTCTGTGGTCTGCTCAAAGAGTGAAATAGAGTGATAATTTTGGTCAGCTGAGGACACGTGTCAGCAGGAGAAGGGTTGGCAGACGGTTGAAAAGGAGACGTTGTAATCGTTCGGGCGACGGTTTCCAGTACAGTTTCTCAGGGAGTATTTAAGGATTTGGATTTTTCTGGAGAAGCTATCTTCAATCAACTTCAACAAAGCAAAGTCAGATTCGGGGATCACTACTTTAATTTTCCAGTTAATTTTCTTATGTACCGTACAGTGTTTAGAGATTCCTAATCTCAGGCACTAATTAATCAAATTTAAAGATATTTTCCATATCTT